AGGAGTGTGTCACAGGAATGCTGGAAACGGGTCCTCTGGGTACAGTATGAGTTTGTGGCCCTCTGTCTCTCTCTCTCTCTCTCTGACAGCGGGAAATCCTTCCCACAGGATTCCAATTCCCTTGCTGCAGTTTAGGTAGAGAATTGAAAATTTGTCCACAAACTCCTACTGTACCCAGAGGACCCGTTTCCAGCATTCCTGTGACACACTCCTTTTTATTGTCCCCTCTGTGGTTGAAATGCAATCTTCCTCCATATCGATCCTTACTCCACCTGTGGGTTCATGTTTACTACAGAGCTCTCCCGGACCCCTTTACCCTGTCATCCCAGTAGCAAGCCAGCTTTCTTGTACATTGTATCCATATCCACTCACAGACCATCCCACCACATAGCTAGCCTCTTCCCAAGAAACTCCCGCCTTACTTCATCTTCATCTCCCATTCTATTTCCTAGACATCCAACACATTGACATGGGCCCTGTACCACCTTTCAAAGGACCCAGAGATCCAGGAGGCCTTGCACAAGGAAGTGGCTGGAGTGGTACCCATTGGGATGATGCCCCAGCACAAGGACTTTGCCCATATGCCCCTGCTAAAAGCTGTGATTAAGGAGACCCTGCGGTAGGATATGATCCCATGTGCATAGAGTCTATATGGGGGTTACAATCAGACAGGAGTGGAAAGTGGGGACTGCCCGAGGGTGGAGGTTAGGGACAAATGTGCTACGGGAAGAAAGACTAAGCACCAGAAAGTCAAGGATGAGCGAGACTTCTCTTCTCCCCAGTCTAGAAGCAGAGCATAGACTTTCTTTTCCCTGCAGCCTCTACCCCGTGGTTCCCACAAACTCCCGGATCATCACAGAAAAGGAAACTGAAATTAATGGCTTCCTCTTCCCCAAGAATGTGAGTGGAGCTAGAGTACGCGTGTGCCCAGGAACGCCTGCAGCCTTGGCTGAGGGTCACACTGCCATTCTTCCTCTGTAGACACAGTTTGTGTTATGCCACTACGTGGTATCCCGGGATCCCAGTGTCTTTCCTGAGCCCGACAGCTTCCAGCCTCGCCGATGGCTGAGGAAGAGAGAGGCTGATAATTCCGGGATCCAACACCCGTTCGGCTCTGTGCCCTTCGGCTATGGGGTTCGGTCCTGCCTGGGCCGCAGGATTGCGGAACTGGAGATGCAGCTGTTGCTGTCGAGGGTGAGAGGGAATGTGTGGAGGGTTGTGTGGGTCAGGTGAGATGGAGGGCTCGGGGAGAGGAGAAGCAGGGAGGTCCAGGGTAGAAGCCTACAAAGGGAACAGGAATTGGAGATCAAGAGTCCGGTGGCCCTGCCCTCTCTCCTTGCCAGCTGATACAGAAGTATGAGGTGGTCCTGGCTCCTGGGATGGGCGAGGTGGAGTCTGTGTCTCGCATAGTCCTGGTTCCCAGCAAGAAGGTGAGCCTGCGCTTTCTGCAGAGACAGTAGTACGGAGCTGGGCTCCTGCCTCCATGGGGCTTGTCCAGAAGCCCTGGCACAGATGTTCTTGGCCAGTCTCATGTCACATGTCAAGATGCCAGATTGAACAGGGGAACTCTGTGCCCTTCCCATAGACACCAAATGTCTGGCACAATCTCTACTGAGCAGCACCCACTTAAGACAGTAGAGTCTTAAGTATCATATGACATTCCTTGGGTATGATTTAAAATAAAATTTAAAATTCAAGTTTGGGGGGGTCTTTGTTGTTCTATTTGATCACCCAGCATCTGACCCTCTTTTTGTGAGGAATGCCTTTTCACACCTTAGAATCATAATGGGTGACCCTTCTGGACCCACTTCTTGGAGCCTGAAAGAGCCCTGTACTTCCCTAGACCTCAATGGCAGACCCATTATGGACACCCAAAAAGGGCACTGTGACAGTCCCACTTCAGCTGTAGATAGTAAAAGTTACCCATTAGGCACCACAATGCCTGTAGCCTCGGGGACCCTGGAGGTTTCAGCAAGAGAGCTGGTTGAGCCCAGGAGCAACAGAGTGGGGTGTCTGTGTGTTGTGCCTGGGGATTGGGAGTTGACGGTCAGTGTTCACAGTTTATAGTTCATGTAAAGGCATGGCCATTACAGTCAACAGTATGAAGATTCCCCTCCCTCAGAAACAGAAGTGGGGCTACCTAGATGGCCATGGTGGCACATGACTTGAATGTCACACCAATTGGGAGACAGAAGCCGGTGGATCTCTATGAGTTTGATGCCAGCTTGGCCTGTATAGTGACATATAGGCCAGTCAGGGATATATGCTGAAATGTTCTCTCAAAAGTAATTTTTGAAGGAGGAAGAGAAGGAAGAGGAGGAGGAGGAAGAAAAAGACAGAAAAGCAAGCAAGCTGGGAAGTGGCTTAGTGGCTCGGTGGTTTGTAAAACACGTGTCACAGAAGTGTAAAGTCCAGAGTCCAAGTTTCCAGAACTTGTGTAAAGCTCAGGAAGGTGGGAATGGTGGACTGTGGACTCCCAGTACTCCAGTCCCAGGAGATGGGCAGCACACACAGGCGATCCTCAGAAACACATGAGGCTGCTTAACAGCAGCAACACAGCAAAGAAACCCTGTCTCAAACAAGGTGGAGGGAGAGAACCCATGCCTGAGGTTGTTCACTGATTTACGCTGTGAGACACTCACACCTACATGTTAACCCCACAGTCACATTCCAGTGTGGCACACTTATGCTTGCAAGCACACACAAGAAAATAAGTGAATGAAAAGGAATTTTAAAAGACAGTAAAGGGGGCTGGAGAGATGGCTCAGCAGTTACGAGCTCTGACTACTCTTCCAGAGGTCCTGAGTTCCCAGCAACCACATGGTGGCTCACAACCATCTGTAATGGGATCTGATGCCCTCTTCTGGTGTGTCTGAAGACAGCGACAATATACCCACATTACATGAAATAAATAAATAAATCTTTAAAAAAAAAAAGATGGTAAAAATATGAATCTACTCTTTCTTCATTGGCCCACTGGATCTGAGGGCCCATGTCATCACAGGGAGGATAAAGACAGATGAAGAATTGCCAGAATTGACTGATATTAATTTCTTTCTACATGGTGAACTGGGGTCATAGTAGGAATTACATCCAGTGTTACAGGATCAGTGATGTTTCTTGCAGACTCCCATTTGTAGGACTGGGTTTCACCTACTCTGTGAGTAATTAATTAATAAACACTCTCCTTATCATTTGTTACAAATCAAAGACTAAAACAATGTTGGCAGAATAACATTCTATGCACAAAAGAAAGGCCACTTGCAGCTTTTGTCAGTTGCAGACTTTCCTTCAAGTCTTTGAATTCTGGAGACATAAGGAGTTTGGCACAAGTTCATCTCAATGACTGTAGCAGTTGAGCAAGCCTATAGCATCCAAGACTGTGGCTTGCTCTTTTCTTCCTTCCTTCCTTCCTTCCTTCCTTCCTTTCTTCCTTTCTTTCTTTCTTTCTTTCTTTCTTTCTTTCTTTCTTTCTTTCTTTGTTCTTGATTCATCATTCTTAAGGATATGAATACAAGATCCTTTGTCTGGTGGGAAGAGACTGAGGGAATAGAACAATGCCCATTGCCCATTGATGAGAGCTAAAGAACCTTCCCCACCCCCCCGCCCATGCAACAGTGTCAGCAGACAGCTCTAGAATCAAGGCCTTTTCAATGTTGGCCTCAAGCATCTTGAAAGTCCCAGGAGAGTAGGCTGGTGGATGGTGGTGATACAAAGGTAGCTCCCACAGGGGAAGAACAGCCAGGGCTCCCGGGAGCTGAAAACATGAGTGCACATGGTCCAGAGACCAAGCATTTCAAGCCCCCATCTAAATCCATAGGCTGCAGTCTCACAGCCCCACTGAGCTCAACCCTGACCCAGGATCAGAGAAAGGAGTAAGCAGGGACAGGGTACACAGATGATCCAAGACTGATTGCAGGGTCTCTGGTTCAGGGACTTGCAGGCTCGACTCCATGGTTCTTACATCATCCTGGTGCACTGGGCATGCTCAAAGGCTTCTAAGAGTATAGGTGTAACAAGGACAATTAGAGGAGGTTGGAGAGCCTGTGAGAAAAAGAGGAAACAGTAACCAAACCGGGAAGAGGAGGTACCTTCCCAGAAGGAATCTCACCATCTACTGCCAACTGGATAGACTGTCTGCCCCATCCTTTGGCCATGATCGCATAACCAAGCATGGTACCAGGACAATCTGCAATCTGACAAACTTGGAGATGAGCAGTAGGTGGACACTCCCTCCTATGTTAGCTCATAATGATGATGGAAATGCATTCAACATAAGTTTGTTAGCTTGCTTTAGTCTCAAGAAATTCCCAGCAAGTGGGAAGTAAATGAAGTGAACGGAGAGGAGGCAAATGGATGTCCCGCCTCCACCCATCCCTTCCAGCAGGACCATCATGACTTCAGCTGGAAATGGGACTAAGCAGTGGTCTGTAAAACCTTATGTTGACAGTTACTATGGGCCTGTGCAATTAGGACTGGCACCACTGCCATCTTTGAGGTACCACAACTTGAGATCTAGGAGCTCAGGAAGACTGAAGGACTAGCCCTATAGCTCATGGCGAAGCCTACCTGTACCAGAACAGAGCCAGCAGATAGGGGTGAGGGAAGATGAAGACCAATTCCCCTTCAAGTTCCAAGATCCTTTCGTTGGTTTTCAGGTGAAGAAGATGGCTTGGGTGTGAGGACTCATGTCTCAGGCACTGAGGGCATCGATGCCAGCAGGGCTGAGTACCAGTGCTTGAAGTATGTCAGAGAGGGAGACCACGCCCAGAAGATGCTGGGTCTCATCCACCAACACCAGCCTATGTACCTGTGGGTCCACAGGGATCAGGGAGGGGCAGAGCCTTTGGCTACAGCAGCTAAGAGGGTCAGGCCCAAGAAGCAAGGGAAGATTAACACAGCTCAAGGAGAAAAGGGCATCTCCTGGGAACAGCTGGCCATGGCTTTGACCACTCAGCTGGTTGTGGATCTTGGCATGAGGGCCCTATGAACAGGACCAGACACCTACCAATGCAGATGCCAAAAGTTGGTCATGAAAGGGAAGGTAGGCCTAGTGCCCAGTATACAGGCATGGCAAGAGCTATGCAAAAAAGAATTAGGCCATCTGTGTTGAGGGCATGCCCAGCGGGGTGGAAGGTACCTGTTCCCGCGCAATCCTGTCAATGACTTCACCTAGGCTCTCGTGGGGCTGGCAGGAGAGAACTCCCTCCAGACACAGTGTCCTCTGCCTCAGAGCTTCTCCCACACTCATGTCTAGGTGGTTATAAGTTTGCTGGGCAGCCAGATGCTGGAGCAGGGAGAAGAGTCACGAATCAACCTCATCACCCAGGCTGCAGCCTGAGGATCACACTCTGATACACTTGTAAACGGTAGTCCCAGATACTTCTCGTTGGTCCTCATACTGCAGCCTCCCTGATGCACCCCCATAAGTGTCCCCACAGACACTTACAATGACATCAAAGCGGGAATAGAGGCCCACGACCTGACCTGCAGTGGGGATGGAGGAGAAAGACAGGAAAGAACACACCTCAGAACCAGGGTGTTCTTCAGAGGAAATGAAAAAGTCTTTTGAAATTAGCATCTTGACAGTCCCCCAGGTTGCTAGCTTTAGTAATGGGGCATCAGATAGGTTTAGTACCATTAAGATGCCTAACTTTCAGACCTCCTGTGGGCTTCAGGGAGAACATGGTATTGCCTGTGAAATATTTCAGCCTCATGGTGTACAGCCATTAGACCTTTAGGTTCAGTTCCTGGTTCACAGGTAACAGGAACAGTAGAACAAGGCACAGTCTTGGCAAATGGACAAATCTGGAGACATGATTTAAAAAAACTTATATTTTGTATATATTGGTGTTTTGCCTGCATGTGTGTCTGTGTGAGCAGAGGGAGTTAGATCCCCTGGAACTGGAGTTACAGTTTTGAGTTGCCATGTGGGCTTGGGAATTGAACCTGGGTCCTCTGAAAGAACACCAGTGCTCTTAACCACTGAGTCATCTCGCCAGCCTAGAATTTAAAACAAAAAAAATTAATTTTGTTTAGTTTGTGTGTGTGTGTGTGTGTGTCTGAGTGCCACCGCACATGTGTGTGGAGGTCAGAGGACAGTTCAGGTCAGTTCTCTCCTTCCACTATATGGATCCCAGAAATCAAATGCAGGCCTTCAGGCTTGACTTCGAGTGTCTTTACCTGCTGAGCCGTCTCTCTATCCTTGCAGGTGGAATATAGGTGGGAAACTGGTTCAGACTTTTCAACTGACGTGTACTATGAAAATGAGTGGAAAGAGAACAGTCTTTGATTTAAATAGACTTCAGGGACAAGTGAGACATGGGAAATGAGAATAAGGACTGGAAATTAGGTCACAGTAAATTATTCATAGTTTTAAAAATAACCTCTCTCTTTTAAAAATTACTTTAGGGGACAGTGAGATGGCTCTATTGGTATAGGCACTTGTCGCCAATCCTGACAGCCTGAATTTGATCCCTGGAACTCACACAGTGGAAGGAGAGAAGCGGCTCCTGAAAGTTATCCTCTGAGCTCTTTGTATGCATAGTGGCACGTAGGCACCCAGATAGACAGACAGACAGACAGACAGACAGACAGATAGACAGACAGATGTAATAAAAATCCTTTACACTCTATTTATTACTATTGTGTGTGTGTGTGCCACAGCATGTGTGTGGAGGCCGGAGGAGGACAAGTCTCAGGAGCTGCTTCTCTCCTTCCACCTGCGGGTATGCTCTGGGCTGGAACTCAGGACACTAGGCTTGACTGGTAAATGCTGTTACTGGCTGAGCTGTGTTGGGGAGTATAAAATATGCTCATTGTAAGAGATATAAACTGAAATACCTAGGGGTGATATGATCCAATGTCTGTAAGTTACTTAGTTACTTCTGATGAGCTGATCATGGCGATATGTTGTTCTCTATCATTGTATTTCCTTTGAAATTTTTCATATTTAAGTATAAGTTAAAAGTCCTTGAGGCTTGAGAGACGGCTCAGTGGTTAAGAGCACTGACTGTTCTTCCAGAGGGCCTGAGTTCAATTCCCAGCAACCACATGGTGGCTCACAACCATCTCTAATGGGATCTGATGCCCTCTTCTTGTGTGTCTGAAGACAGCTGCAGTGTACTCGTATACATAAAATAAATAAATAAATCTTTAAAAAATCCTTCATAATATCCAACTTCATTCTGTTGAATATAACTAAAGAGTTATGTGTGGGCTACATTACCTCTTTTTAATGTAGTGTATAGTGTCTGTGTGTGTTGTTTGTGTGTGTATGTTTGTACTTTCACATGTGTGGGCTTGTGTGTGTTCCTGCATGTGTGTATGTGTATGTGAGTGTGTATGTGTGTGTTCTGTCACATGTGTGGGTGCTCCTGCATGTGTGTATG